TCCCGAGACAACCCGTTACGAAAAGTGCGCGCCCCAGAGGCCCTCATCCCGTTGCGATTAGCATATAGGCGCTCACTCAGCCAGCCAGCAAGCAACCCAGACCGACTGCCAACAATCTGTTTTGACATCATGCCAGCCAGCCGAGATGACAGCCAGTCAACCGACATGAAAGCAAGCCGATCAAGCATGGCCACGCAATCTAGGCCCCTGGGATGGGGTCCTTCTAGATGGGGTCGGAGGATCGCGCCGCATCGCCGATGCGGCTCGATGCGGAGCTCGATTTCTCCTCGCCGACGGCGCCGATGCATCGCCGACGTCGCCGATGCATCGGCGATATATCGCCGATGCGATTGCGATCCAGCGCGATCCTCCGACCCCATCTACGTTCCCAGACCGCATGTAGGAGGCGTCTACGCAAGCATTCTCAAGTCTCAGGGGGGCTGGTGGCAGAGGGCGAAGCCCTTCATAGTTTAAGGCGAATATGCGCAGCGCTGAGGCGAGAACACCACTGTGAAAAGGAACCTCAAGTTGTATAAATGCTGCAAGCTTTTACGACGAGTGTGCGCGGCGATACGGCGAGACTTCCCTTTAAGCACTATCCCCTTCCGTGTAACTGTCGCAAGTTCCAATCTTCAGGATCATGAACGGTGAGGAGGTCTCGGGCGAAACGCGCGGCCCGCCCGACCAACACGTCGCGGGGGGCGACAGGGAGGAGTTATCTTTTATATGAGGACGGGGATCGAACAAATCATGACGTAGCCATACGCTGTCGAAGAGGTCCGCGCGGATTTCTTGGACGCTGGCCCCCCTCCTTGGCGCGCGGAGCGCGCCAGGGGCGGCGCAGGAGGCGCCGCCAGGGTGTCCAGCGCCGATCCTAGAAATCAGCGCGGACCTCCGAGTGGGTATGTTCATGCGATGATTTGTTCCTCGATTGGAGGAGGAGGAGGAGGAGGAGGAGAAGGAGAATAAGACGGACAAGGAACGGGAGGAGGTGGAGGAGGAGGAGGAGGAGCAGGAGGAGGAGGAGGAGGAGGACGAAAAGGAGAGGAGGAGGAGGAGGAGAGGGAGTTTGGAGGAGAAGGAGGAGGAGGAGGAGCTTGGAGGGAGGAGGAGGGGAGGCTTGGAGGAGGAGCAGCTCGGATGATGGAGTTTGGAAGAGGAGGAGGAGGAGGAGGAGGAGGAGGAGGAGGAGGAGGAGGAGGAGGAGGAGGAGAAGCAGCTTGGTGGAGGAGGGAGGAGGAGAGAGTAGCTTGGAGGAGAGAGTAGCTTGGAGGAGGAGGAGCTTGCAGGAGGAGTGAGGAGGGAAGAGGAGCCAGGCCTTCGTGCAGCGGGAGCGGCGGGCGTCGGACGGCAGCGTGCGGCTCGTCGCCGAAGGACGCGGGCCGAGCCTCGTCGTCGTCGTCGACGACGTCGCCGTCGAGGTCGACGACGACCTCGCCGACGACGACGACGACGATGACGACGACGACCTCGTCGAGGACGATGACCACGACGACGATCACGACCGCGACGCTGACGACGACGACCACGACCACGACGATCACGACGATGACGACGACGATGCCGACGATGACGACGACGACGATGACGACGGCGACCTCGTCGATGACGAGGACCACGACCACGACGACGATCATGACCGCGACGCTGATGACGACGATGCCAACGATGACGACGACGACGATGACGACGGCGACATCGCCGAGGCCGAGGACCACGACCACGACGACGACCACGACCGCGACGCTGACGACGACGTCCGCGACCATACGGCGACGACGACGACGACCTGCACGACGCCGACGACGACGACGATGAAGACCTCGTCGAGGACGAGAACGACGATCACAACCGCGACGACGACGACGACGACGACGACGACGACGACGACGACGGCCCACGACGACCACGACCACGACCTCGAAGACGACGACGACGACGGCGGCGACGACGACGACGACCACGATGACCACGACGACGACCACAACCTCGTCGAGGTCGACGCCCACGACCTCGTCGACGACCGCGACCACGACGACGTCAACGACCACGACGCCATGAAGCCGACGACGACGACGACGACGACCTCGACGACGAACACGACGACGACGACGACCTCGACGACGACGACGACAATCTCGACAACGACGAGCCCCCCCCAGGCGGGCGTCAGCGGCGCGTTCACCCTGCTTGCACCTTTCGGGGCGCTCTCTCGGGCCACTTTCTTTGCACCCTTGCCGAGCGGGCTTGGGGGATCGGTCTGGGAGAAGAGGCGATGCACCCACCGCAGGTCGGCGGCGAAATTTAGGCCCTACCCTCGTCGATCAACGAGTCAGGCAACTGGATGGGCGGCGGGGGTAGGGTTCGGAATTCACCGAACCTGTGACGAAATCCGAACCCTATCCCCGCCTCCCATCGATTCTGGAGAATCGGTGGCTGGTGGGGCCAGGGTTCGGATGTGCCGCCACCTGGAAGGCACACGTCAGTGCACTATGCCTGGTGGACGGAGCCCTTTGCCGCGCGCCCCGCGTGTTGGGCCATCTTGTGGCCGTGCTGCGGCAGATTTGCGCTGGGTCGTCGTAGGCAATTCTCGGGCTGTCTTGATGGCATCTTTGGAGCGACCTTTGGGCATGGCTCGGACATCCTGAGCGATTGGGACGGCATTTTGGCATTTTCTTCCAGGGAGGAAAAACTACCCGGGCCGGACAATGGGCGTTTACTAAACGGCCTTGGGCGTTTTCTGAACAGCCCTGCCCTGTTCGATTCCTTATTTGGGCACGTTTACTGAACGACTTCGCGTGTCGGGGTGGTTATTACGGGGGTGTGTTTGTTAACTTCTATTTCTGTTGGACTACATCGTCGCCGTCTTGGGCAATCTCGAGGGCACTGGGGGCCGTCCTGAAGCGATATCTGGACATCTTGGAAGCAAAGCATGGGACAGACAATCAGCATTGAAACGCACAATCGCTTCTCAAGATTTGTTGCCTTCTCGGTGGCTCCTTGGAGCCCTCCTGGACCATCTCAGGGGCTTGGCCGTCTTGGGCTCTATCAGCCATCCTCTGAGCCTCCTGGGGCCGTCTTCGAGGCAGCTTGGGCTTTCCTAGCTGCGCGGTGACGTCCAATGGGAATCTTGGGGCAACCTGGAGCGGCCAGAAGTTTGACGGACACCCCCTGGGCGGCTTTTCCCCAACCACGGTTCTTGACCCCATCAGGAGCTTCGCTGAAAGCCCAGTGGAAAAGTCCGCCGCTCATTTCGGCACACCGCCCATACGCGTCGTGACCCCACAGTTCCACGACGACCCCAGTAAGAAAGTCTGCACGTGTCCCCGCCGCACATTTCGGCACACTCCTCACACGCTTCGTAGCCCCATAGGGAACTTCACCGGAGGCCTCCGAGGAGAAGTCTGCATACGTCCTCGCCGCCAAGTTCGGCGCACCCTTTACGGTTCGTTGCCCAATATGGAGTTTCACCAATGGCCACACCGGAACAGAGGGTGCATGGCATCCCCCCGCACAGTCGGCACACCCCTCATTCGGCCACTGCCGCGAGCCTCCTTGCCCAGGGCATCGAGGGATCCTGCGCCGCCATCCTCGTCATCCTCCTATTTCTGTTCCTCTTCCTCCTGGCCGCCCAAGGGGCCTCCTAACTCTTCCGTAGCCATTTTGGCTCAAGTCGACGGGTCAGCAGGGTGCGGTAGCACATGCCAGGCCCAAACAAAACACGTGTTTGGTATAGAAACGTCTGCCAAGGGGTGAGGTACGATAGATGCACGCTCGTCATGCAAGGTGGACCATCGCTGCAGGATTCGAAGACGTCATTTTGGATGTCCCCGTGGTCGAAGGAGCGCACAGGTTAATCAAGAAACCGCTGGCGTGCTTGGCGTCGCGGGCCAAGTTCTTCTCAACAAGGAGGCCTCCGTCATATTGTCCGAATAGCGGCATCGTGTTCTCATTTTCCTCTCCTGTCCTCTCCCCTTTGTGACCGACACTATCCTTGCAGCCAATTTGGCTTCGGGGCGCTCTCGCGCCATTGAACTGATTTGTTTGAGTTCGCTTGCACTCTCGTCTGAGAAAGTGTTCATCTTAGGCCTATCGGCCTCATCCGCCCCCGATGCCAGCCGACAGTGGTAGCGGAGCGTGAACGAGGACATGGGTCAGGGGGGCTCTGCTCAGCGTGGTGATGAGGGCGACGCTCGAGACGGAGAAGTTCGTGAGCAACAGAGCGCCCATGTACACGACCCGTGGGAGAAACTCTCCACGCACAAGAAGGAGGGACAGGATGGAGCCGCAGCTGGCTCTACGAGTGGAGAAGAGGCGTGGGGAGACTGGCGAGGCACCGAGTGGTCTGATTGGAGATGGTGGTCCTCCTGGAGTTGGTCTGGGTCCAACTCGTGGGGCAAGTCACCGTGGGAAGAAGCCAATCGAGACTACTCTGCGCCTCCGACATGGCACGGGTTAGAGAATTTGGAGCTGTACCTTGCAAGTCTTAAGTCCTGGGACCAGAGAGCCGCCTTCAAGGCGGAGACTCGGGCCAGGCGCATCATCGAGTCGTTCCCCATCGAGCTGCAGGCGAAGTTTAAGAGCGTCAGGCACCTGGTCGATGCGAGTGACGGTATCCTGAAGGTTATCGACCACCTCAAGCTGTGGAACGAGGAACGCCCAGGAGACAAGAAAGGGAGGCACACAACGAGGCATTGTTCGACTTCGCCATACGGAAGGGGGAGACGCTCACAGACTTTGTAGTTAGGCGAGATCAGCAGATAGCAGCAGCCGAAAGGCTGGGACTGACGCTTCCAGACCAGGTCAAGGCCAGGTACTACGAGGAAGGAGCGAATCTGACACTTCAGCTGAGGCTGAACCTGAGGACGCTGATGGCCGGCAGGAAGACAATAGACGCAGTTCGAGCTGCCTTGCCCGAGCTAGACATCACGGAGAAGCAGACGCTGCCCCGGGCCCCTGCGGCCGCGCCGGCAAAGACCTTCGCAGTCACGGCGCCAGAGGAAGCCGATGAGTGCGACTGCGGGGTGTGCGACGACAGCGATTGCTTCGGCCTCTTCGGGATGGAGTTCGATGAGCAGGAGCTGACTACCATCCTCGTCTCCCTGGACTCCCAGGACGAGGAGCACATCTTGGGCGTTTTCGCAGAGGTGACGCCCCCGCAGCGTCGCAGGACGTGGGCAGAGGCCAGGCAGCTCAACACCAACAGTCGTGTGGACAGGGATTTCTTCGATCGACGCAAGAACACGAAGAAGGTCACCAGGGACGATTTCAAGAAGAGGTCACGCTGTTCGAATTGTTGGGAAAAAGGGACACTGGCGTGAGGACTGCAGGAAGCCGTGCCGAAGTAAAGCAGATCGCCTGAAGTCTGAGTCATCTCGACCGGCTGCAGCCGGAAAGGGGCAGGACAAGAAACCGGTGCAGTCTTCGTTCTATTTCAACCTGGAGCACGGGTCGAGCGCTCACTCCGGGACGAGCTGGACTGCGATCTTCCATGAGGCGGGCCAGGTGGGGCCGCTCATGGACACCGCGGGCACGACGATCGCGGGCCACGTGGGCCAGCGGTCGCCATCTCCGGGCCAGGTGGACTTAGAGATGCTCGCGGCGGCTACGTTGCAGGACATGGACGAGCACTGGTGGACACGGCGGCTGGACAGGCGTTGATAGGCACCCCGGATATCGATCGGCTCAGATCGGCGCTTAAGAAGAAAGGATATGAGGTGCACATCTTCGACACCGACAAGGCTCCGGCCGCCAGTGGAGTTGGCGGGAAGGTCAAGCCGATCGGAGTAGCTGCAGTCCCTGTCTCTCTTCAAGCATGTGGCGTGGTCGAATTTCTGATTATGCCTCGCCCGTGCCCCCCATTGCTGCCAGCGAAGTTTCTAGATTTCCTCATGTCCGTGATCGACCTTCGCCGCCATGACGATCGGGGAGGAAGGCAATCGCCAGTATCCCAAGTTGCTGAAGCTGCCGTCGGGTCACCGAGCCGTCTCGCTCATAGGCCGCGAGTCCACGGATTTCTCGATTCACCTGGATCTGGCGGACAAGTTCCCTCCCTTCGTTGTGGAGGCTGGTGGCCCTCACTCGGATTTCTCGATTCACCCGGATCTGGCGGACAAGTTCCCTCCCTTCGTTGTGGAGGCTGGTGGCACTCACTCGTGGCTCGAGGTACCGTCGGAGTTGCAGGATTGCTGGGTCCAGCTGGAGAGCGTAGTTCGGCGCGTGCGCGTGAATCCGAGGCAGGGCGCTTTTTCTTTTGCCGAGGCGGGCTCACCTCCAGCCTCGATTTCGCACTCAGGGCCGGGTCGCGTCATCTGCCAGATGCCGGGGGGCGTCTCGTCCGGCCGCCGCATCTTCGAGGGCTCCTGGACCGACGGCGCCCCGAGCGAGGTGCTGCAGTTTGCCGGCCGCTGGATCGGGTACACGGAGTTCCCGATCGAGGCTCTCAGTCAGGACGTAGGGGGCGGGGCGGGCTGCCTTGCCTGCGAGAGACAGCATTTGCTCTCCTCTCGCTCTCCCCCCTCCAGCCTTGTTCCAGAACAGTTTTCAGGCCAGGGGCTAGCCGACCCGCCGTAGCACATCCCGGCTCGAGCTCTAGCAGTGGCCAGTCGGGCCAGTGACCCCTACACGTTCTACGGTCTCGAGCGCCCGATGCCGACCCAGAGAGTCAAGATCACCAAGACCCGGAGCACTCGCTCGCTTTCGCACCTACGCCAGCAGGCGCTGAGGGCTCAGCGCGACACCATCGAATCGGACCCGGAGCTGGAGGTGATCCCGGAGTGCGAGGAGGAAGCGGGGTCAGAGATCGAGATGACCTGGGATCAGACTCCCGACCCCTGGGGCGACACGCGAGCTGCAGCACGCCAACTTCGTGGGGGAGGCCATGACGGCGGTCGAGAAGGAGCTGTTCTACGAGGGCGCAGGTGGCGCAGGCTGTTCGCACGTGGCGCGGGTGGTCCATCAAGATGACGCTGTTCCTCAGGGCCTGAGCGATCTCGCGCCTGTCAGCGATCGTGGCCCCGCGCATGACTCTGAAGGTCAAGGTAGAGGACGAGCAGGCGAGCTATTCTCACCCGTTGACCGCGAGGTGGAGCGGCGGGAACCAGTACGGGCACTACTCGAAGTGCAAGATGCGCGACAAGCGTCTGTCGTTCGTTCTCGTCTAAGGCGAAGGAGGAGATCGAGGAGACGCGCCTGAAGATGGTGGCGAAGCGCGAGAAGAAGCTCAAGAAGGAGGAGCCCCCGACGGAGATCAAGACCGAGCCGCCTCCGAGGGTCAAGGCGCCTTCGAGGCACGTGGAGTACTGCGAGGCCGCGCCTGAGAATGCCCCTGCGACGGCCAGGAAGTCTACGCCTGCGACGAGGCCAGCTCACGTCGGCACGGCGGGCGGCAGCTCTTCCGGCAGCAGCAACAGCATCGAGAAGGGCTTCGAGACTACGCAGTAGATGATGGTGGAGGACCGCAAGGACCGCAAGGAGAGGCAGCGGCATATGGACGTCCTGATCGACGTGGTGAGGAGCTCGCGTGCCTTGCGCCCGGTTGTGGCCCCGCCGACGGACGACGAGAGCTAGACGAGGCTCCCGGATGTCCCGCAGGGCCTGGCATCGACGTCTCGTCAAGGGAGTGCTGCCCCCATTCCTCCTCCCCTCCCTTCTCTTCCTCCCTCCTCTTCCTGAGCAGCGAGATTCCAGAACGGGCCGAGATCCTCGGCCAGTTGCCGGGCCCAGGACCTCACAGCAGTTGGGTCGCCAAGAGTTTCAAAACTGCGGCTGGGGAGCTGGCGCGCCCAATCAAAAACAGGAGGCCTCGCCATTCTTCGGGGGTTCCCCAGGGCCAGGTTTCCCAGGGCCAGGTTTCGGAAACCACGGGGTGGACTTCCAGGGATCTCGGAGCCGGAGAAGGGAGTTCGGGCCACGCAGCTGGCCATGAGGTGCTCCGGGGATCGGGGGTTCGGGGGTCCATTCGACGGGGCAAGGAGGCTCCGGGCCCGCGTAATCAGCTCCGGGGCGGTCGTGCTGGACGAGCTCTCTGTCTTGCTGTCCTACGAGGCCGTCGCCGGGGCCCGAGCTGGTCCCCCCGCCAGTGCATCGAGATCTGGGTCGCGACTCCGTCGAGGCCTCAGTCTGGCCCGATCCCATGCATCCAGCGCATTTAGAACAGGCAGTCTCCGAGGCCCTGAGCGAACCCCACGAGGGCCCGGGGGCGGCGAGGCCAACCTGGTGCTTCTTGGACCGCTTCGCGGACGTCGAGCAGGATGCGTTTCTTTCCCCCGCGGCCCCTGGGAGAGTCCGTCAGCAGGCTTTGCAGATTTTGGAAGGGGCCGGGGTCCGAAAGGTTAGGAGGCGGACGCGGAAGGACGTCCAACGCGCTCTGAGGTAGCTAGGTAGCACGATTTGTCTTGAGTTGTTCTCGGCGCCGAGGGTTGAGCCAGAGCTCGGGCGCAGGGGGTTCCCTCTCTGGACCTCAGAGCGGGTTGGGACTTTCGCAGGTCGGAGGGCCGAGAGCGTCTGTGGGGCCGTGGGGGCTTCTCGAAGCCGAAGATCCGCTGATGGCGTTGATGTCTCCTCCCTGCACGGCGTTCAGCACTGCGAGGACGAGAGTAGATCAGATGGATCCTGCCGAGAGGGTCCGAGCTGAGCAGGCGGCGCTGTTATCTATTTCCATATGCGCTCAAGTGGCCGAGCACCAGCATCGGAGGGGTCGTTATTTTCTGCTGGAACGCCCTCTGACGGCCAGCTGTTGGCAGCTTGAAAGCATGCAGAGGTTGGCTTCTTGATAGGGGGTCCGCTATGTGGATATGGATCAATGCGCCTTCGGGCTCTCGGTCTCGCTGGGCACCCTTTCGAAGAGGCCAATTCGACTCCTGTCCAATAGTCCGGATATGTTTATTGCCTGCTCGCGCAAGTGCCCTGGTGACCATGGGCATTTGCCTCTGGAGGGGGGGGCCAGGGCGAGAGCATCGCAGCAGTGACCCCGTGAGCTGGTGGCCGCGCTCTCCCAGGGAGCGGAGCTGACCACTGCCCGCGCGCTCTTTTGCCTGCCGTCGGAGGACGGCGTTTCCTTGCCCGAGGGAATTCAGGAGGAAGGGGTTCAGCAGGTCGCTTCCGACACCGGGGAAGAGGATGACCCCCCCCAAGCGTTTTTCGGCCCAAGGGGTCATCTCACCACAGGCCTCTCAGGCCCCAGAGAAGGAACAGTCAGAACCGCAGCTTCCCCGAGAGCTTCAAAACGAGGTGCACAAGTTGCACGTTGACTTGGGCCACCCCCGACGCGAGGAGTTCGTTAGAGCGCTCAAGGTCGCCAAGGTCCAAGATATCATCCGTTGGGCGTTTAAAAGCACTCGGTGCTCCCAATGTGAAAGTGAGTCGAGACCCATTGGCGCCGTCGCGCCCAACTCCCTCGGACTTTTCGTTTCAACAAGCTGATGGCCGTGGACCTTTTCTATGTGCACGCCTTCGGGGAGAAGATCCCCGTGCTGAATATTGTAGACCACGGCCCTAACTATCAGCGCTGTACGGCATTAAAAAATGTCACGGCTCAACAGGTGTGGGCCGGCTTCGTTTGGACATGGGCGCGGCCGATGGGGGTGCCAGAGAGTCTCATGTCTGACGGAGGGTCCGAGTTTGAGTCTGTTTTTCAGCGTGCGTTTGAACATCTGGGGGCTTGCCATCATGCGTGCGACGCTGCGTGAGAGCCCCCATCACAACGGACGATGCGAACGACGCGGGGGATTCGTCAAAACAGCGTCGCCCACGGCCATGAAAGCGACTTCGGGCTCGAGCCGGGGGGAGTTGGAGGATTTGCTTTGCGAGGTTGTCTCAGCGAAGAATCGTTTCAGCAACCGAGGGGGCTACTCACCATATCAGATGGTATTCGGAGAGAATCCCTGGATGCCGCAGCGTCTACTCTCCGACGATGCTGTAGACGAAGTCGTTGTCCAGGATCTAGCGCTGGGCACTCGAGATCTTGAGGGCCCATCAGCCGCTTTCGCCCGGAAGCATGCGCTGAGGGACGAGGCGCGCCGAGCGGTGATGTCACTCGACGTTGCCGAGCGCCTGAATTTTGCGTCCAAGGCCAGGCGTCGCGCCGACATGGTTATCAGACCGGGCACGCGGGTGTACGTTCGGAGGAAGCCGGGCGGAAGCAAGCGGGCGGAGGGCTCCGGGCCTCGCTGGGCTGGTCCCGGGGCCGCTGTCCTTCAGCAGGGCGCGGCCGTCTGGGTGGCTACGAGGAGTCGCCTTCCCGAGTGCTCTACGGAGCAAGTCAGGGAGGCGGCCCCGGGCGAGGCCCAGGGGGCCGAGCCTCTGGACTCTCATGCGCTTGCTGGTCTTAGATCGGAGCTCCAGAACCCATCTGGTCGGGTCGGGCCCGCGGATGTGGAGGCCGAGGGCCCTCCTCCTCCTGAGGCCCGGGGCGCCAGAGAGCCGGATCGAGAAGCGTTCGCCCCGTCCAATGCCCGGGCTGAACCATCTGTTTTGTTGGCGCCTCTGGCTGAGCCCGCGGTCGAGGCGCCCCCTCCGGAGATCGTCGATCCGGGGGCGACCGCCGGAGGTCGCTCTGTTTCAGTTTCACAAGCCAGCCAGCAGATTTTGTCACCGGCTGGAACGAGTCCTGGCCCCGGTCCCCTGCTTCCACTGCGGCCCCCTGGCTCTCCCCTGCCTGC